GTATTGGTGGCAGATTCAAGGCGCTTGAGATATGTCTCATGACCAACTAGCATGTCGTGCAATTCCTCGAATGTCAAGGAAGTGGTGCGAGTGCGGATAGGAGCAACAATGTCACGATAATCAGGACCTAGTCCATGCAAGACATAGAGTGTAATATCATCATCAGATAGAGGAGTATCAATGAGAGCCAATTCATCCACAATGCATTTGATACTGTGGAGATAGTCAGTAATGGGTTTCTCACCACGTTGCATGAGAGTGAGTGCCTCTTTAAGTTGCATGATGCGTGTTCGTGACTTGTTGGCATACAAGCGAAAAAGCTTGTCCCAAGTGTCACGGGAGGTTTTTGCCGAAGCAATAAGAGGAGCAATTTGTTCCGAAACAGAAGCCAAGATGGCATTCAAGAGGAGCTGATCCTGTCTAAACCAGCGAGTATAGGCAGCAACATCGTTTTTTCCGAAGTGGTTTTGGTGGGTACAGCTGGACATGGGAGGGTTCCATCAAGATACCCCATAATACCGTACCCAAAGAGGAGGGAAGAGAAAGTAGCATGCCAGGTTGGGTAGCTGGAGGTGGTGGGGCGCTGTAGTTGGCTAGTGTTTATGGAGATTAAATGTTGTTCGGAAGTCTGACCACCAGTGGGGTGAGAGACAATCGGAGAAGTCATGGTGGAAGCAGACGGATCGTACTCGTTAGAGTCAAAATGCTCTGATGCCATAAAGAAGAACAAATGATAAAGAAGGACAGATGTTCTGCTGTAAGAAAATACTTTGTGTATTACAATTGTTTGGCTTTTGTACACAGATTGCAATGAGGGCAGCAAGCTATATATATACATAAACCAAAAAGCTATACTAGGAAGTTTATTAATAGTGAATCAATATACAAGGAATAACAGCAAATTTACAGCAACCGTGTCCATGATTTGTGGCTGTAGACTGGTTGATTATCCATGATTTTAGAGTTGAGATTAACATGTCCATGATTTGCTCCTGTAGACTGGTAGTGTGACCAAGATTATAGGGTTAAGATCAAGGATCCTTTTCAGTCACTTAATAAAAGTTGAGTGCATGTACTTACTAGCTAGACGAAGATTTATATGGTGAGTGGAGATTCGAAATAAAGTATTGTAGGCGAACACAAAATATTTCTTTTATATGGATGTCAGTCTCTTGGTAACCGTGATTGAGTTGGGAGTCGAGTCAAGTCCAATGAGGGCGTGATTTAACAAATTCTTTCGAAACGAGACAATAACACAACTTACCTAGCATGACAAAATAAATTCTTAGAAGAGGTCCAGTAATGACCTTTCCTTTATCAGCTGGGTGTTAGTCTCTATTAAACGATTACCGACTTCAAAACCAAAAGACAAAAACTTAAGGTTCAATTTTGAGACCTAAATGCATGCGTGTGTGTCTATATATATATATAGCGTCTAAACTTTTCAAATTTTATAAAAAATGACATTCAAAATTAATTATATATATTACATAATTAAGTGTTAACTATATTACATAATAGCGTCTAACTTTATAAAAAAATGACATTCAAAATTAATTTTTCTAGGGTTAAATCCAACAATTACTATCCAATTTTATATTGGTATAACCATCACCACCCAATTATATTTTGTTTCACTATGGCAACCCAACATTATATAACGTTTCATCATGATTGCCCAACTTATTTTCACAATTTTAAAAGGGTAAAATTGTAGCTTTTATTATATATAAAAAAATAAATTTAAAATAAAATATTTTTTTATTTTAAAAATGTTTTAAATAATTTTTTATTTTATTTTATTTTATTTTTCTAAGTAACGTTTTTTATAATAAGTTTTTACTTTATTTTATTTTTTTAAGGAACGTTTTTTTTTAAATAAGTTTTTTATTTTATTTTTTTTAAAATAAATTTTTATTTTATTTTTTTAATAATTTATATATGTATAATGCAAAGCTACCATTTTACTCCTTTTAAAATCAATGAAAATGATGAAAAGAAATTTGGTGATCATGTGAAACGTTATATGAAATTAGGTGATTATGGTAAAATAAAATCAAATTTGATGGCCATGATGACGTTAAGTATAAAGTTGGGTGGCCATGGTAAAACAAAATTAAATTGGGTTGCCATGGTGACAAGTGGTATATTTAACACATTTTTCTATGTTGTCATTTTACTTTGCAAGCGACAGATTTTTATACTATAATGAGTAGAGTGTCGAAGTCATTATAAATGATTATCTACATATTTTACTTTTAATTACTATTAATTCTAATCAAGAAACATGTACGATCAATATTTTGATTTTATTTTGAGCTATGTCGAATTATTTACTAAAATAAACAATTTAAAAAAGGCAAATTAAGTGTTGAGATTATTCAAATCACAAAAGTCACTAAGGGTGTGTTTGAGCCCCTTTAATTTTGAAAAATGTATTATGGATTAGTAGATTGAAGGAGAATGTGTGGTTTAAAAAGAAGAAAAAGTGTTTGGTTGGCGTATAATATTAATTTAATAAATAATGTATAGTTAAAAATGAGTACTGTAAAAAAAATAATGTGATAGAAAGTAAAATATTGTGTGACAAACAAGCGCTAAAATTGCAAATACACCATTGTTAATTTACTTTGACCCTCAATTATCCATTTATAATTAATTCTTGCTATTATGATACAGACGGCACAATATGAAAATAAAAAACACATATACAAGAACACTATGTGGAAAACCAAGATGAGAAAAAATCACACGTGAGAAATCTACTATATGAAGAGAGAATACAACGAATATTATATTCAGAGCATGTTTGGAAGTGATTTTGAAAATTGATTTTTTTGACCGTTAGGAAAAAAGTGAGATCCACTTGTGAGAGAAGAAATCAGATATGACGGCTGAAATAGTGAAATAACGGTCAAAAAATCAATTTTTTGAGCCAAAAAATCAATTTTTTGAGCCAAAAAATTACTCCCAAACAGGTTGTCAATATGTTCTCTAATGCTATACAAAGTCAATAATCACGTGGAGTATATTTAAGAACCGAAGGAATAAATTACAGAAGGAAAGAGGATAAGAAACAAGCAAGAAAAATGGGAAAACAAAAATAAGGAAAATCCTTCTTTTATTTTGGTATAGTGCAATCTACATCATCAATCCTTCTTTTAATTTCTTGCAATGCTTGTCACAAAACTTGAATCTGGATTGAGTTAGAGGGTTTGGGATTCGGAAAAAGTGGCAGACAATGGTTTAATGAAAATAAAAATAAAAATTCAAAATAGATATGTTTTTAATATAAGTGGACAATCGGGTAAATTGGCAATAGAACATGGAAGTAATTAATCAGGAAAAGAGGAGTTTGGATATTTGAAGATGAGAAGTTGTGTTGGTACTAAAAACAATATCATTGGCCATGGAGACACAAGAAAAGATGAGAAACGAAGTAGAGAGGAAGAGTAAAATTATGGAAAATATTCTATTTTGAAGTGACTCGTGATTTTAAAATTAGCTCTGATACCATACATAAAGAAATGAAAAGAATTTGTATTTCATTCAGTAATTAAAGTATAAAATTGGAAGACAATGTATAGCCCACAAGAGATAAGGTATAAATCTATTCCGATAAGGTACAAATATGATCACCTAAATTTTAAAATACAAGGATAGGAAAAAGAGTGAGAAAATAACGGTTGTCAAACAGTGGCTTAATAGATACGAAAAAAAGGACTCCTAACTATTTTCTTAATTAATTTCTACCTGAATACTTGCTTTCTCCTTGATTATTAAGTTGCATAGTTTAGTTGTTAAATAAGTAAGAAAGTCAAACTCAAAATCCCGATCTTAATTATTTGTGTTTTTGGAAGTTAGTTTTAATTAAAATATAGTCACTAATTGATTCGACGATACCATACTCACTACTTTGTTATTTAGTACAATCCATCGATTTCAGGATAAAATAGATAACAGTACATACTAATGAGACGTGTTGATCTTTTGAGTTGATCTCACAGTAGTAAATTATCTATGGAACATGAAAGTTCTAACCAATGGATTTGTATTAAAATATATAATCAAAATATTTATTTGATGAATATATTGAGAAAGAATATAGTTGTTTAATAAAATTGTAAAACAAGCTAATAGCACGAAATTTTTAAAAAAAATTTCTGATTATTTTCGATAGCTTATAATTATTTTTAATAGCATTCATGTAAATACTTTGGAATAAACAAGATCAAGCAGTAAAACATCCATCGATAGTCAATTCTTCGCGATGGAGTGAACCTAACATTGTAACTTATTAGTCTCGTCTTTGTTTATACATGTACAACTTTTTGAAGGTCACTGGACCAAGTTATTAGCAATTAATCATTCCATATTTGCACAAAATGAAATTTATTAGGTCTTCATTGAGATTTATTCAGAATAACGTAACATACTCATAAATGGATTACAGACAGTACAGTTCAAAGAAAACGCCAGGTTTTCTCTACATTCTGCAGAATACAAGAACGCTCTTTATTTATTCATATAGTTCATAACCATATATATGATTTCTGCTCACTGATGAAGCTACTGCACCCTGCACCACAAGAATCCATTAGACAAATTTCATTTTTTAAAACTAAATCTGAAAGAAAAATAATTAGAAATGGAGAAAGGAGAGAGATATATGTGTTTACTTTGAGCAATCAGTGGAAGGGGAGATCTTGTACGGGACATTGACACCACATTTTCCAGGGAGGCCAGCGGCCTTTCCATAGTCAATAGTCTTGTAAGATCCAACCAAAGATTTCAAGCAGGAACAGACCGATTGGCGGTCAGGTTTGGTTTTGGCTGCACCGTAGAGATACTTAACTCCGCCGCAGCAGGGAGCCGACACCGTCTTGCCACCCATCACATATGGGAGGCAGGGTTTCAGGCTACTCACCACTGTGCCGCACGGGACTGCTGCCTCGGCCAGTGGTGCCACCAGGGCCACGGTTATCAGGACCAAGCACATTGCCTTCACAGTTCCAGATGAAGCCATTGCAGAAGATAATAGAAAATACTAGGCACTTGGGAACAATTTGATTTGTATATAGAGGACTGCCCGAGTGTGGGAGGAAGAATTCGACAAAATGTTTGATTGGATAATTGGATGGTTGTTGGGTTCGATTTAATGTTCAATCATGCTACATTTACATTATCGTCTATTTCTTTCTTTACATTATGTCAATTGGCAACAAATCACCGAACAATTTAAATTTTTGAAAGTTTTTCCATCCAATCAACACTTGTCCACACACACAATATCAACTATCATGTCGAGAAAGAGTGTACAAGTGACATTTCCCTTCTGGTGTATAAGAAGTTTGACACGTATGTAAACTCAAAGAAAGTCTGATGGGATTAGGTCTTTCACATATTTTTGTTCCAACTTGCTGGTTAATTTATATAATCGTTGATGCACTTTTTTGCTCATTTCTTTTACTGTAATCGATATTTTACAATTTTTTTGACCATTAGTAACAATTACAGTTCTATTTCACCAATAACTAGTACTGCAATATGCATTCTAACTTCTGAGTTTTAATATTTATTTTTCTTTTGCGTCTTCTGTTGGAGTTCTAAAGGAAATTTTGCACGAAGAGTGCATGATATGCAATAAATGAGAATGGTGGGCATGACATAAGTGTCATATTTCCACATGTATGCCCATTCTGTCCGAGTGCCCATTTTCAGCTTTTTGTGCCGACGAACAATTTTGGCAGTATGTCTAGTCAATTTCTGGGTGATTCATGCATAATTCTTATTTCAACTGCCACCATTTTCATTTAGAAAAAAAAGCTCTACAACAAAAATACCTCTTCATTAATCACTTATCTTAAAATGCAAAATGACTGAGTAATGAAAGTTGTCATATTTGTGCTTTTAATTTCTTTTTATAAATTTCACAATCACCATTTTAATAGCTTCTGTTTGATGGCTAGTATTTTGGAAAAATAATATTTTGTATAGCGACTTTTAAAAGAATGTGTGGTCAAAAATAAGAAAACGCTTGAGTTTAGATCTAAAATATTTTATTGTGTGGATTGTTAGGGCCTGCAGATTATACAAAATTGTAAATTAGGAAACTATTAATTATGTCAACCAATTAGTTGGTCAGTACATAGATTTCCTTTGATACGTCCACTGTTCTTCAATTTATTACTGGTTTTGCTCTGTTCTCTTGTAGATTTTCAATATTCTTTCGTAGAAAAGTTGTCAGAGACTAGAAATTGGCTGTTCAAAATTTATAAAACAATAGCAAACAAAAAAGCAATAATTTCTGTTCATTTTTAGCTTGGAAGTAGTCCAGTTTACTTGAGGAGGCAGCTGTCAATTTTGAATTAAACTAATTGTACACTCTTTGTGCTCATTAAGTTTGACATTTCATGATCTGTTAAAATCTGTGTTATTGATTGTTTAAAGTGTTGTTAAAATCAATTTATAAAAAGTTGTCACTCAACAACAATGTCAAACTTGATGTAACTATAGCAAAACTGATCAATTTTTCCTCTCCATATAAACTAGAAGCCGGAGATCTTTATTATTTAAATTTCTATGTAAATTCGAGACAAAATGAGGATGTGATTTATTAGAGTTGGACCAAAGTTTATTATATAGGCAAACATACGAAGAAACAAGAACCAGAAAGATTGGCACCCTAACAAATTAGCGTTGGAAGTGCCTCTATATAATGTCCTTCATCCAAATTAATACAGGGCGCATTGTAAGCTTATGCCTTTAGTCAATATTACTAATTTATCTCCTTTGTTATTGTTACTTGTAAAACAAAAACCATTGACAAGGATAGTTCATTATATTAAGGAGGGATGACTCAACTTACTTGGAGAGATAGACATGGACTTCTTGGGACTATGCTGATCAGTCGCATCTTCAAATATATAAGAGCTAGTACTAGTAGTTCTCCCTGAGCCATGGTCTCCATTTTCTACTTAGGTAACTATGAAGTGACGTTTGGAATCTATGCATATTTTTGAGGTAGTTTGCAACCCCACACTTATTGAACTTGCTCATATTTTTGAAGCAATATGTAAGACCTCGCCAACTTGACTATTTATATTTCGAAGTCCGACCTGCACATGAATGTATGACTTAGACTTGGAGATTATTTTTATACCTATATATTTATCATACATGTGATGGAGGGGGTCCATATATGCCAAGGTGGCATTAACATTCCATTGATTGGGCCTATTTAGTTAAGCATTCTCATCTTGAGTTTGAACTCGACCCATTAACCCACTTGGTCCATTATCATTTCCCTATATGCGCGCGCGCGTGTGAACTCACTTCAAAGAATGTAAGTTTAGTCAACGGCGGCCTTGACTATAGGTGAGGCCCTACTTTGGTGAGGGGCTCCAAATTATATAAGATTAATTAATTGAAAAAAACGAAAATTATATTTATAAAATTCTTTAAAATAGAATTATCACATGCCAACACAATAAAATAATAAAAATTGAAAATACAAGAAATAAAGAGTAATGTTATTTGTAGTTCCTAAAAACAATATGCATTAAATCACTAACCGTCGCATGTATACTACGAAGGGTGATTGAGATAGTGAACAACTGTAAATAATATATTCAAAAATAAATTATCTCCATTTGAATTAAAATTTTGAAGATTCAATTTAACAAATTGGTACGGTTTCATGCCATTGTTGCAGCCTTACAATTTATATTTTTTCCTTATCTTCAAAACATATAATACAGAGCACATATATTGATATTATTTTTATTTTGCTTTAATCTTATGATAATAACCTTTTTAGACGTTTGTTTAAAGTACTTAGAATTTAATAATTTTTCGTCCGTATTCATACTTCTTATTTATATGTTAACTTCTTATAAATTAATATAAAATTAGAGTATATTTGATTCTCATTTTCATTATTGTGTTACAATATCTCTTGTAGTCAACATTATCTAATTTTGCACAATAAATCACTTAAATGCATATTCAATTTTGTTTGAAATAGTTGAGGTGAGAAACTGATTAAAGAAATGAACATACTCATTTGTTATTGCATTGTAATTTTGTTTGCCGAAACTTCACTTATAATTTGTATTGCTTGTTGAAATTTGATATTTTGTATTTTCCTCTTCAAATTTTGGGACTTAATTATCTGTATTTGATTCTTCATAATTAAATTAAAACTCTTTGTAAGAAGATTTAAAATATAGGAGCCTCATATTTAAAGTTGGCGTAAGGTCCCCCAAATATGAGGGCCGAACCATTCAATCTAGTTTGTTTTGATTTGGTTTTGATTTCATTACTAAAATTTCAAATGATAAATGTAAATTAAAATATATCATTGTATCCATAAGTCAGTATTATATGCCTAAATCAAAAAAATAAACATAAACATTGAGTAAATGTAATTATTGCTGTGATATAGGAGTGCGAGTGTATTTCTAAAATTGAAAATAAGAGAAATAAATTAGAATTTAGATTTAAGGCATGGCAGCCTTGCTTGATAGGCACTACAAGAAAACTGAGTTTTGTCGACTCAAATATTGGTCGCTAAAAGTCGAATATTGGTCGGTAAAATAAATTCCTGACTAGAAAAGTCTAGTCGGTAGTTTTCAAAAACCTATCAATGAATGTTTTCACCGACTAAAGTACATGTTAGTCGGTAAATATAGAAATTTTAACCTACCAGAAATATATTGGTTGGAAATGATCGAGTTTTTCCTTGACTATTTTCTAGGTCGATATAAGTCTAAACGTAGTCTGCAATAATACTCATCAAAAAGTTGTGAGTGGTGGTAGTAAATATAAGCTGACCACGGTCATTGGTCGGGAAAAATATACCTTTGCCGACCAAGAAAATTATTTAGACTGGTAGTGATAAACATTGACTGACCACATTAGATTAGTCGGGGAAAATCTCCTTTTCTCTGACTAAGGAAATTTTAATTGTAGTCGGTAAATGTGATTTTGTTTTGAAAAAAAAAAAAAATTGTACTGTACAATAATCAAAATGCCAAAAGATATTGAAAGCCCAATTCAAGTACAATGCACCAACAAGAATTCAAAATCAAGAAATATCTAAAATCACACGATATGTTCCATTGCATAGAATCTTACAAGATATCATGCATTTAACATTGATTACAAAGTAAAAATATGTTCACAGAAACAAAAATGCAAATACTTCACGAACTTGATCTCACTGAAGAAGAAAAATTTGAAGGACAATACCAACTTTTTCTAGACTAATTTATTACACTTCTTAGATCAACATTTTCTATTGTCTAATTAGTAAAAGTTCAACAACTTCGACTGTAACTCCATCTTCTCTATTTCCAATTGGATGGAACTAGTGTTCACGAGGTATAAATTGATTTTAGCAAACCTACATTTTTTTTCTACTTCTTTTCCTTATCAGCTGATCCACATTTTGCTTTCTGCTCATTCTCGACCATCCAAGCTGCCTCTTCTGTCTTCACTGATGAGCTATTCTTGCCAGTTTAAAGCAACAGCCTCCTGGTATATGACTTCAATTTTACTGCTGCAACAAGAGAGGGTAAACATTCAGGACTAAAATAAGATCCTTTTTCCAAAACTGATTTAGTATCTGTAAAGTTTTAAATACATATTCAGGCTGGTCATGATTGAAAATGAAGACCACAAAAAATAAAAGTGATAATTGAGCAATGAAGGAGAAAACTTGTTTCTCTAAAAATTGCTACTTAAGGGAGGGTAATCTGGACATTTACCACACCTTAAGTTGGTGACGTTACGTGGCAGCCCCTGATTCGCTCATACCATATAACTTGGATCTGTGTTTCTTTTGGCCATGTGTGGACTGTTCGATTGAACGAACGGTGGAGGTGAAAAATAACTTGCCCCTTAGTCTCTCTGCTGAATACGGCTGGGTGTGATTTTTCAGACTTGACCTTTGATTTTTTTCTCCTCTCTCTCTCTCTTCGTTTTTGGGAGAAATTTTTCTCCCCTTCTTCTTTGGGCTGTATAAATTGAAAATTATTATTTCTTGATAGATTCTTGTGAATCTGGTGTGCTACAGTAACTTGGGTGCCATTTGTTTGAATAATCTGTA